CCAGACAATGGAAGTGTTTTGTTAGTGTAAAAAATTTACAAGAGCTTAAGCAATTTTTTATTTCTTCTTGCTGGGCTGAAAGCACTTACCATTGTTGTCCAATATGCTGCAAATGAACATAGTTCAAAAATCACAAAGAGAGTGATATGGAGTTATAGAACTGAAAATAGGACACTGATTGGGTACAAATTCATCAAGCCTCTTTATTTCGAAACAAGCTTTTTGTTGGCATGCCAACACAGCTTGCTTTGGAAAAAGCAAAAGCAACTGTGAGCGAATGATATAGTAGGAAAGTTGACCTCCAGTTAATTTCAGTTGTGCCCAGCTAGCTAACTGTACATCTCCTTCTTTCCAACATTTTTTTTAGAAAGTTTCAGTTAGTGAGTCATTAGTCCTATGTACAGAACACCTAATCTGCTATGGACTAAATATGTATGTCCTCCCAAAATTTCTTTGTTGAAATCCTAATTCCCAAAGTGATGGTGTTAGAAGGTGAAGCCTTTGGAAGTTGATTAGGTCATGAGGGTATAGTACTTTAAGAAAAGAGTCTTGAGGGAATTCAGTTGTCCCTTCCACATGTGAAGACACAGTAAAAAGAAGGTCATCTAAGAAACAGAAGGTGGACCCTCACCAGACACAGAATTTGCTGGCACCTTAATCATGGATTTCTTGGCCTCCAGAACTGTGAAAAAGACATTTCTGTTGTTTATAAGCCACCTAGTCTATGGTATTCTGCTATGGAAGCCCGGAAAAAGTAAGACAAATCCATTGCTCAGTTTTTTCAGAAACTTACATAACTCATCTCATGTTAAAAATGGTGAGGCTGGAATTTGAACCCTGGAAATATGGCTCCCAAAGTTGTTCTCTAATTCACTATGCTGTACTGTCTCTGATTGGGTAAACGTGTCATCTACAATAATTTCAGAATTAATTTTATAAAGCAGTCTTTGGCATATATTGCTTCAGATGAAAATTTATCAACTCCCTTTTTCTTAAGATAGTGGTTCTCAATTGTTCTTTTCTAAAACACACACGTCAAATATCATTCTCCCTACAACTATATCACTCTCTTCTCCACAATCTAGAAAGCACACATGAATGCATGTTATATATAACTTTAAATCTGATCTTACATTGAATTTGACAGGGTGTAGCAAAAACTTGAGTACAGTGGCCTAACCAAATAGTGGTTTACTGTTCTCAAATATCCGGAAGCAATGAAGAAGCTGGTGAAAATGTGGGATAGCTGCTTAAGGAATTTGGTAGGAACCCTGGCTCCCTCTACTTTTATGGTTGCCATCTTTAGCATGTGACTTTGATTCTCAAGTTGGCTTTCTCATCTGAAGGTTTCACATCTATGTGCAAAAATGGAGGAAGAAGAAGGGCAAAGGACAAGACACAAAAACCAAGTAGACATTTACCAGATGAAACTGTCCCCTTTAATTAGTTTTCCAAAAAGACTCACGGTCTAGTAACATTTAAATCTCACTGAACACAACTGTGTCATATGGCCACTCCTACCTACAAAAGGATCCATGAAGCTAGTATTTTAATATGGGCAAATTCCTTCCCCTTCAAAAATCAGGGCTCTGGTAATAAGAAAGAAAGGGAGAAAGGCAGGTGACTGGCAGTTTGTGCCATGTATGTAATATCATAAGCAAACTCTGGCACTTTTATTGGTAACTGATGACTCTGCAATATACTCTGTTCCTTATCACAGGATATCAGTGAGACACTGACTCTATGGTTGAGAGTGTCTGATCTACAGGATGAAGTCCAAATCCCTAAACAAAATATATAAGAAAGTATCTTACCAGTCTAATACTAGCCTACTTTTTAAAATTTATGTTCCCCCTTCTCTAACCCTCTGCTTAAGTCACATGTAACTTGTCTTCATTTTTTAATTCACCAACCTTTGCGCCACTGGTTTTGGCATATGTCCCTTTCTTTGTTCAGAAGACCCTCCTCACCATCTCCAGCTGCTAAATAATACTTATTCTGCAAGACCCAGTGTGAATACCATCACATCTCTGGAAATGGCCTTAACTCTCTCAGTCATATCGATTTTGGTGTTTTGTATACACCTCCATTAGTTCACTTGTAATTATTTTCTTTCATATTTGTCACTACTGACATACGCTATGGACTCTTAGAGAACAAGGACTATGATTTATTCAACTTTTTCTACCCAGTGCTCCTGCAGTTCTTGGAATATGCTCAAGACATCTGCTTAAGGGAAAATATAGCTGAGTGTCACCTCCAGTGTATAGGTGACCTACAAGGAGCTGAAGTGACCTGTTTTCACCATAGTCAGTAAAAATGCACTGATCTACACCCCTTAAATCTAGACCTCAGTGGATTAATGGCTGTCAGCAGAAATATGGAAGAGACAGATAGTGTTGAGTTTTTTTTTGGTCTTAGTTGATGATAATAACATAATTCAGTAACTTAAAGGTGTTTTCTTTATATCTTCCATTGCCTATTCTTTAGCTCTGTTATCAAGAGATATTTGATTTTTTCTTTCTTTGTGCACAATTTGAGACACAGTTTGTATCCTCAAAAAGGCTACTGTTTTTTAGATTCTATATATGAGTAAGATCATATCATGTTTGTCTTTCTGTGTGTATCTTATTTCACCTAACACAGTGTCCTCCAGGCTCATCCATGTTGCTGAAAATGACAGAATTTCATTTTGTTTTATGGTTGAGTAGTATTCCATTTTATCTGTGTGTGTGTGTGTGTATATGTATGTATATATGTATACACACACACATATATAGTCACATACACATGCAATGATATATATGTGTGTGTGTATATATATATATTTTATATATATATTTATTTTATATATATATTTTATATATATTTATTTTATATATATTTATATATATTTTATATATATATTTTTTATATATATATTTTATATATAATGTGGCTGTACATGCATACACTATCAACATATATAAAGCCCACACACACAAATGACATATATGTGTGTACATACATTTTATATATACATTTATCTTTACACATTTACATACATTTTGCAATACACTACATACTACATTTACATTCACACACACATCTTCACACACTCACAATATCAAACAAAAAACAAACTTATATTTTATATATATATTTTTTATATATATATTTTATATATATATTATATATATATATTTTATATATATACACACACACACACACATTCATCTGTAGTTGGACATTTAGGTAGAGTTCATATCTTGTCTGTTATGAATAACACAGAAATTCAGTAAACATGATCAAGGTGCCTGCAATAAACATGGGAGTGCAGATATCTTTCAAAATGCTGATTTTATTTACTTTGGATATATACACAGTAGTGGTATTGCTGAATCATATGATAGTTCTATTTTTAATTTTTTGAGGGACCTCCATAATGAGTAGAATAGTGATTACCAGGAGCTGGGCACAGGTAGTGGCAAGGGAGAAACAGGGGAAGATGGTCAATGTGTACAAAATTACAGTTAGGAAGAATAAATTCTGGTTTTCTGTTACACAATAGGATGACTAGAGCAAATAATAATGTAATGTACATTTCAAGATAGCTAAAAAAGAATGTTTTGAATATTATCACTCCAAAGAAATGATAACTATTTAAAATAATGAATATGGTAATTACACAGATTTGGTCATTATACAATGTATACATACACTGAAACATCACGTTATATCCCATAAACATAAATATGTCTAATGATTGTATGTCAATTATAAATAAATTAATAAAAATGCTACTGTTTAAGGAAAAAAAGACCTTTGAACTTAAAGTGATTTGAATAATATGGAAATAATTTACTAGCTTATTAACTTTTAAGTTGTTCAGTGGCTGGTGTATTTATACTTAGCAAATACTTAGTACTTGTCATTAGAGGAAGTTTAGGAGCAATGGGAATTGGATGAGAATACAAAAGGAAAAATTAGTCATTAAAAAACCACAAAATTGAACAAAGGGTTAGAGTAGACATGGTGAGTTCTTGATGATGCTACAACCTTACCCTTTCTTCCCTGAGTATATGGAAGACAGATATCACTAAATCAATCAAAACACATTTTTCACCTGAGCCCAGACATGGTTTTAGAATGCATTTCAGCAGTACAATACTCCAGTTATCTTCTATAAACAAAGGAGGGAAGACATTCCTATCTTTCCCTCATCAGTGCATTCTCCATAAAGACTGTTCATGTCAATACACTACCTGTAACTGGGTGGAGAATGTTTTCCTGACTCCCTTTGCAAAGTGAAGCAAGCATTGTGACTCCAAGATTGAGCTTCCACGTATTTAACTCTTCTGCCAAATCTCTCTCAAGGATTGGGTTCAGTGTCTTACAATCATGGAGTTCCAAAGACACTGCTTCCGTTACTTGCTTTCTATTTCTGCTAAGGAATGAGAGGGATCATCCCACCCACAGACTTTACAAATGAGGAGGGAGATAGCTAACACGTACTGAATGGCAGTCAATATAGTGAGTGCTTTATATTTACATCTTTTTTTGTTTTATAACAACCACATAAGGTCAGTATTATGTCCCCATTTTATAGATAGGAGATAGTGTCAAAGAAATTAATTCATTTGCCTGAGATCCCAGAGGTGGTGAGGGATGAAGATAATATTTATTCTCAGATCTGTGACATCTGGCATCATGCTATTGAACTCTGGAGAGTTAGTTGTTTTTTGTGATCTTGATAAAATCTGCTTCTTGGGTTCTTTTCATACCACCAAGTAGTTACATTTTTGATGACAGCCTTGAGCTGTACCTTCATACTTTCTTGAGTCTTGCAGACCACAGAGGCGGATGGAAAATGGGTAAACGTAGATCAGATATGTGTTAGAAACAATCAATCTATTTTAAAACTCATGTCAATCATGTGAAAATCTGGTCCCCTGGAGACCATCTTGATGGAAATGGAAAGCAAATTTGGGTTTAATCTTCTTATGTCCCTTTTTCTGCAGGACATCGTCCATATCAGGTGATCACCGCTCGAGTTCATCCAGGAGAGAGCAATGCCAGTTGGGTGATGAAGGGTACCTTGGAGTTCCTGGTCAGCAGTGACCCTGTGGCTAGGCTCTTGAGGGAAAACTTCATCTTCAAGATCATACCCATGCTCAACCCAGACGGTGTCATCAATGGCAAGTATGTCAGGCACCTGGCTCAGCCCAGCTGCATTTATGCTACCATAGTAACACTGTCATTTCACCAAGTGGGCGTGATTGGAGAGGCCTCCGTACTCTGCCAGGAATAAACTCTTGGTTTTCCGTTTTTTGGTACAAATAACAGCATACTTTCCATACACACTGATGTCAGTCTCATGGTTTCTCTGAATAGAAAAGTATAGAATTGAGACCTAGGCAGGAGGATCGCTTGAGACTAGTAGTGCAAGACCAGTCTGGGCAACACAGTGAGACCTGGTCTCTTCAAAATAAATAAGTTAAAAAAATAGGAAGCTATAGAATCATAGGCAATTAATAGCAGAGGAAAAATCTAGTTTAACATTTTTCTTTTAAAAAGGAGGAAACTGGTGTCCAGGGTAATCAAATGATTTGTCCGAATCACATGGTGGGTTAATGACAAAGTCAGGGCTCAAACTGTGATTTCTTCAGAGTAAGACCAATGCTTTTATTTACTTATTAATATTTACTACAGGGAAATCTTTATTCTCAGTCAGATATAATAGGATACAGTTATAATAATGGTGTCCCTCTAGCTAAATAAAATGTTGGCTGAAAAATAGAAGGTTGAGGTCATTCTTCTCTTTACCTAGCCCTTACAGAACTCTTCGAAATATATGATGGGAAAGATGGTTTCCATGCCTGGTTTGCTCCGTTGAAATGGGCCACGTTCTCAGAGTTTGTGAGCTGAGGCCCAGACATCAGATGAGGCACCCAAAGTCACACAGGTGGTGCATGAGGGTGACAGGATAAACATCCACAAAGATGTCTTTCAAACTTTGTGGGCAAACGATAAAGCCCTTTGCCATGGTAATAGATGATTCTTTTTACTATAGGAATGGACATTATATGCTATAAGAAAAAGAGAATACAAGATAAACTGAAAATACTGAATGAAAAAAATTCAAAATCTACAAATGGAAAATGTATTTTTAATAAAAAAAATTAGTATCAAAGAAGCAAAAAAGAATTTAGACAACTATAAAATATAGCAATATTAAAATTGTTAAATGAAAGAGATAAAATGAGAATTACAAAGAAATACTAAACAAAACCAAAAACTTCAAAGAGATAAAATGAAAATGACTTAAATAAGAATGATGTAAGAAAAATGAAATAATTCATTTTTTAAGAAAAAATTTAAGTGTTAAACAGCCGAGAATAGACTAGCTTCAAAAGATAAGCACCAAAGATAAATTAAAAAGGTTAAAACTATGAAGATGATAAATTACAAAAAGATGAAAAGCATAAATTCCAAATGATGAAATATGTTAAACTATGCTAAAGGAAAGCAAATAAAAACTACAGATCATAAAAATAATATTTCAGTACACACACACACACACACACACACACAGAGATAAGACACCTATGTGTTCTTCACAGGTGAGCTCCTCCCAGCTTAGCAGTTGCCGGATTTCATTTTGTTTAATTTTTTTATGATGATTATTTGAGGGCAGAGAATGTTGGGCAGAGAGCAGGATTTGTTCTCTTTCTCTGTGGTGACTGATTGGCCTTTAAGCACATGGGAAAATGGGAGGCCAAGTCCTTCACTAAGAAACTCGATCAGAACTTGGAAAGCAATTAGCCTTCTGAGCTCTCAAGCTTGAAAGGCCCCAAAGCAGTGTTCGCTCCTGGTCAAACAGAATTCAGCCGGCTCTTGCTCTGTGCTCCTTTAACGGCAGAGAACAGCTCTGGGACATCAGTGAATGGCTCCTCCCTGCTTGAGCAGCCAAGGATTTTACTACAAGCTTTCTCAGCCTAAATGGATGAAAAACAGTTATGCAAGGCATCTTGAGGGACATGATCCCATTTTGACATTTTCTCATCCAAATTGGCTCTTTTCCGAAATCTCTCCTTCGCTGGAATTGTCTGAGGTCCAGTAGAGAATGGAAAGAGCCCTGGATCTAGAGTCATAAGATTCGTTGGGAATTCTGGCTTTTCTCCTGCCCTAGTCAGTTTTCTCTTCTGTTAGAAGAGGAAGACAATATGCTCCCTGTTGACCATTCTGGAAAAGGTCTCAGAAGCCCAAGGCAATATTCAAGCTCAGGGATTAAGTATTGTAGTTTCTTCAATTTTAAATGCTTACACCTCCAAATCAGGGGCTTTATCCAGATCTCTGGTTTAAAGGTTAATGTGATCTCAGTCACTGAGTATCATCTTGGCCTGGACACACATTATTTCCAGCTCATAGCTGGTTGCTTTGGGTTCCCAAATGGCAGGCCAGCTTCTTCTTAGTGACACTGGCATTTATCATCATTACTATTATTTATTATGACTAAAATTACCTTTTTATTTATATAGCATCTTTCATCATGGAGCTCAAGGCACTTTGTAAATCACTTGGATTACCCAAACAATTTTGGCTGAAAGGGACTTGGAAATCGTAGTGTTATTCTACTGAAGGAAAAATCCACAGGTCATAGCACAACATTATGAAAAAGCTTGAGACTGCCTGAATATATAATGTCTCATCATAAAAGAGCTTAAAAGTCTCAGTGCCTGAGCCCTCCTTAGAACATATCTAACACATGGTTTATCTAATTTCTGCTTGAACTAGTTCTGTGATTGACATTTTACTTCAGGGCATGCCCACTCTGTTGTGTATAATCAGGTGGAGCGGACATGTGTTTTCATCTTTTTCCTGTGAGCTTCACCCATTTTAATCATTCCTCCCTTAGGATATCCCATGGATAAAATCTGATCCCCCTCATCCATGCCTGAACTTCCCCATGTGAAGTTCTCTCCAACCTTGAGGCGGTTCACCTAAATTTTCTGTATATGGTATTTTTTCTGATGTTCTCATCTTCGCTGATTTTCTCTGAGTATATTCTTATTAATAGGCTCCTTTTTGTGACACTGTGGTCTTTTGTCCTTTGTAATGTATTTTAACAGTTTTGGGGGAAGAGATTTTTTTTTGGTTACATGGATAAGTTATTTTAGTGGTAATTTCTGGGATTTTGGTGCACCCATCACCCGGGCAGTGTACATTGTATCCAATATGTAGTCTTTTATCCCTCACCCCCCAACCCTTCCACGACAAGTCTCCAAAGTCCAGTGTATCATTCTCATGCCTTTGCGTCCTCATAGCTTAGCTCCCACTTACAAATGAAAACATACGATATTTGGTTTTCCATTCCTGAGTTACTTCACTTAGAATAATAGTCTCCAACTCCATCGAAGTTACTGCAAAGGCCATTATTTCATTCCATTTTATTCCATGGTGATATAGACATATATATACACACACACACATATATGTATATATATACACACACACATATATATATATATCACATTTTCTTTATCCACTCTTTGGTTGATGGCACTTAGGTTGGTTCCATATCTCTGCAATTGTGAATTGTGCTGCTGTAAACATGCATGTTCAAGTGTCTTTTTCATATAATGACTTCTTTTCCTTTGGGTAGATATCCAGTAGTGGAATTACTGGATCGAATGGTAGTTCTACCTTTAGTTCTTTAAGGAATCTCCATACTGTTTTTTCACAGTGGTTGTACGAGTTTACATTCCCATCAGCAGTGTAAAAGTGGTCTCTTTGCACCACATCCACGCTAACATCTATTACATTTTGAATTTTTAATTATGGTAATTGTTGCAGGAGTAAGCTGGTATCTCATTGTGGTTTTAATTTGCATTTCCCTGATAATTAGTGATGTTGAGCGTCTTTTTTCATATGTTTCTTGGCTACTTGTATAATCTTTTGAGAACTTTCTATTTATGTCCTTTGCCCACTTTTTGATGGGAGTTTTTTTCTTGCTATTTTTTTTGAGTTCCTTGTAGATTTTGGATATTAGTCCTTTGTTGGATGCATAGTTTGTAAGGATTTTTCTCCCACTCTGGGTTGTCTGTTTACTCTGCTGATTATTTCTTTTGCTGTGCAGGAGCTTTTTAGTTTAATTAGGTCTCATCTATTTTGTTGTTGTTACATTTGCTTTTGGGTTCTTAGTCATGAATTCTTTGCCTAAGCCAGTGTCAAAAGAGTTTTTACAATATTGTCTTCTGGAATTTTTATGGTTTTAGGTCTTAGATTTAAGTCTTTGATCCATCTTGAGTTGATTTTTGTATAAGGTGAGAGATGAGGATCTAGTTTCATTCTTATACATGTAGCTTGCCAATTACCCCAGCACCATTTATTGAATAGCATGTCCTTTTCCCACTTTATGCTTTTGTGTGCTTTGTCAAATATCACTTGGTTGTTAAGTATTGGCTTTATTTCTGGGTTTTCTATTTTGTTCCATTGGTCTACCTGCCTATTTTTATGCTAGCACCATGCTGTTTTGGTAACTATAGCCTTATAGTATAATTGAAGTCAGGTAAAAAGATGCCTCCAGAATTTTTCTTTTTTCTTAGTACTGCTTCGGTTATGTGGGCTCTTTTTTTGTTTATTTGTTTCATATGAATTTTAGGATTGTTTTTTTCTAGTTCTTTGAAGAATGATGATGGTATTTTAATGGGAATTACATTTACTCTGTAGACTGCTTTTGGCAGCATGGTTTTTTCACAATATTGACTCTATCTATCCATGAGCATGGGGTGTGTTTCCATTTGTCTGTGTCACCTATGATTTTCTTTTTCAGCAGTGTTTTGTTTTCCTAGTAGAGGTATTTTACCTCCTTGGTTAAGTGTATTTCTAGGTTATTTATTTATTTATTTTTAGAGCTGTTGCAAAAGTGACTGAGTTCTTGATTTGATTCTCAGCTCGGTTGCTGTTGGTGTATAGCAGTGCTACTGATTTGTGTATACTGATTTTGTATCCTGAAACTTTACTGAATTCATTTATTAGATGTGAGAGCTTTTTGGATGAGTCTTTAGGGTTTTCTAGGTATACAATCATACCATTGGCAAACAGTGACAGTTTGACTTCCTATTTACTGATTTGGATGCCCTTTATTTCTTGTCTGATTGCTGTGGCTGGGACTTCCAGTACTATGTTCAATAGACGTG